CAAATGGGTTTTTTTTTTTTTAGCTTTCAGATTTCATTAAAAATATTTTTTAATTTAAGTTTCTAAGATGAACAAATGTATTTTGAGCTTGGAACAACATTAGGGTGAGTAAATGACGACAGAATTTACATTTTTGGGTGCACTAACCCTTTAAGAATTATCTCAAATTGAAATCATTTTAGGCTGTCATGTTGGTGCTGTTAAAACGAGCAGCCTTGACCAGCCTTGAAAAAAAATGTGTTCGGTGGCAAAGGCAAATGGTGGTTCCTTAAGGAAATGCATGTTCAGCAACCCCTAATATAACTCTTTGTGTTATGAAATGACCCAAATGTCAAAAACTCCAGTGTCAGAGACTCGAGCTGAAAAGGACTCCATACCTGTTCTGGGAAACTGTGATATCACACCCACTTCAAAAGTTGCAAAAACAGGAGAGTGATCACTGGTGAAGATGTCATCTGTGCATCCTGATGAACAGAACCAAAGGATCAGTTAAAAATATTTGTTTACTAATCAATTCAATTCTTAAAGCTGTAATTGGGGTGGAGTTAAAGTTTTTCTAAAAACATACAAACCGTCATCTGAACGTTAGCAACCATCCCATTAATAAATAACCTAATTAATTAAACATCACATTCCAATCTCGTTTAATGCTGCCATTTAAAAAGATTCTAAAAATACTAATGTGAGGTAGTAATGAAATACTAAGCATTTGGTCAGTGTTGGCTGTGATCATATACACTAGCATAATATATGTTGGAGGCCTTTGCTGAGGAGGCTGAATTCACATGTTTGCTGAGCAGATATGACAGGATATGACTCTGATTGTGGACCGCAGACCTACAATCGTACCCAAAGTAAACCTTTGTTGTGCAGGGTAGCTAGCTACACACATCTCATTCCAACATGCTACAAAAATAGCAGTCCAATGTTTTAGTTACTTCCCTCAAGCTTAAGTGCAAACCAACAAAGGAGAATGCCTAGCCACTTGATGTATTATGTAGACACTGTAATGCATGGACTATATTTTTTCTTTTACATGTGATTAGAAAGCTTCTCAAACACTAATTACTAACTAACCCACTAACTACTGAGAATACGAATTGGGAGAAATAGGAATAACATACCATATGAGGTACAGATTATGTGAGACTCTGGGTAGGACTTCCACAGAACTCTATCACACCATGAAGGCCCATTGACTTGCACCTGAGGAAAGTTTGAATTGAGTTTTAATAAAACAAAATAATACAAAACAAAAAGGATGAGATGAGAACATGTAATCTATGTCGTCACACATAATGAGTCAAATCATATCACATTTTGATTTATAGGCCACTATAAGTGTAAACAGGATGTTAGGATGTCATTAACAAAGGCTGATAGATTAAATGAAATGAAAAGTTTTACCCCACTGGACTTGTATTTCTGCCATAGATAACAGTCTCTAGAACCACGTTCATACCGATAGGTGGGTGGAAACAAAATCTTCTCCTCCTCTTAACAGAGAGAGCAAGAACAAAACCAAGAACGAAATATTAAAGCGTCTGTTAATGCTTTTTTTTTGTTGTTGTGTGATCACATCTATTGATTTCTTGTGTCTGTGGTGTCCCTGGGAGAAGAAGAGCAGCCGCGGTTCTTACTAAAGTTAAAAAAGGCCTTTCTTCTGTGCCGCTCTCTGGTCAATTGGTCTGCACACATCAGCTCCTCGAATTCTCGCTTTGAAACATGCTTCAATATGTCCTGCAAAAGGGAGACCTCAGTCAGAGACAGATGACCTTCAATATATGATAGAAGTGAGCACAAGGATTCATAGAACAACTCAGTTCAATTCAATGCGCTTAATGGGGTCTCCTTAGAGCAATGTTTGAATGGCTATGGATCACAGTTAATAAAAAGCAGTGAGCGGGAATAAGTAAATCTGGAGTGACTAATATCTAGACAGAAATAAAGCAGATATTAGCTATGTGACCAGAGCATCCAGGTCCAGGCGGTAGTTGAGGTCTCCACACCAAAAGAGATGATTGAAACGAAGGCTAATGTCAAAAGTGCTGAGCTGCTTTTCTCCAAGAGACAAGAGTCTGAGGATGTCTTGGAAGTTGTGGTTCCTCCTAAGACAAGAAAGAGGAATAATGCAAAATAGACACTCGCACATATAGAACTATTCTAAAGTTTGGGGTATATAAGATGTTGTAGAATTCTCATATGTTCAACAAAGCTGCATTTATTTGATCATAAATACAGCAAAAACAGTAATAGTTTTAAAAATATACAAAAATGTTTTCCATTTTAATATATATTTTTAAAATGTAATTTATTCATGTGATGGCAAAGTTGAACATTACTCCAGTCTTCAGTGCCACATGATCCTTCAGATATCATTCTAATATACTGACTTGATTCTCAAGAAACATTCCTTATTATTATCATTGTTGAAAACAACTGTGCTGCTTAATATTTTTGTGAAAACATTATTTTTTCAGGATTTTTTGATGAATAGAAAATTCAAAAGAACAGCATTTATTTGAAATAGAAATCTTTTGTATCAATGTAAGTCATTACCGTCACTTTTGATCACCAAAGTGCAGTGCCCTTAACGCACACTAAATCCACACTCGGCAGCGGTATTCAAGGCTAAGTGTATCCCATAATGCATCATGTTCTGGAAATAAATTATGAGACTTTTTGCCGAGGTTATACGAGATGTCGCGGAACCCTTTCTCTGTGTGTGTGTGTGTGTGTGTGTGTGTGTGTGTTATAGAGACTATTGAACAGAAAGTTAATTATGAATAATAATTAGATATTACATATAATTTGGTAGCAAAACAGAAAGTGTTGCACATTTTATTGGTGCAAAGGTGAGTATGTTTCTTTTGTATAACATTTGCAACTGCTTTATCATTTAATTAGAAGCACCACAATTACTAAATTGAGTCATCTGTTATAGAGACTATTGAACAGACACAGACAAGTTTATTTTTAAATGCAAAGTATTGAAAATCAAAATAAAGCTCAGTAAACACTTGCATTTTTAAAACACTATAACTGTGTCCCATCAGGTAATAAAAAAGTTCTACACACACTTGTGGTCTTGGGCTAAATACAGGAAATACATCATGCAAGTAGACAAGAGGTAAAATGAAAAGACCACAAGTGTGGGTATTTGGACAAGCCCATCCTATGTGTTGACATCACTTTAAATAAAACAGGAAGACAGGGCAGGACATGTCAAGCAGCTCCACCCCTTTTTTAAATAACCAATAGTGTTTTGTTTATATCACAACTTGGACCAGAGCTGTTGAGCTCAGTAAAGCCGCATTTGACTGTTTTGACTGTTTATGGCAGTCACAGTCCTTTAGATTCGATATGAAACTGTTACTAAAGTAAAACAGTGACCATAATCATGCTGAGGATGTGTAGTTTGAAAAGTGTGTAATATATTGGTGAATGGCACCGGTGTTATCTCTTTTACTCGTCAGTGCTGTTTCTAATACCAAGTTTGTCTAACAGTTTCTCTACATCATGCAAGTAGACAAGAGGTCAAATGAAAAGACCACAAGTGTGGGTATTTGGACAAGCCCATCCTATGTGTTGACATCACTTTAAATGAAACAGGAAGACAGGGCAGGACATGTCAAGCAGCTCCACCCCTTTTTTAAATAACCAATAGTGTTTTGTTTATATCACAACTTGGACCAGAGCTGTTGAGCTCAGTAAAGCCGCATTTGACTGTTTTGACTGTTTATGGCAGTCACAGTCCTTTAGATTCGATATGAAACTGTTACTAAAGTAAAACAGTGACCATAATCATGCTGAGGATGTGTAGTTTGAAAAGTGTGTAATATATTGGTGAATGGCACCGGTGTTATCTCTTTTACTCGTCAGTGCTGTTTCTAATACCAAGTTTGTCTAACAGTTTCTCCTCCTAATCTCATCCATAGCGCAATAAAATATAGCATTCTGTGCACAATTAAATTGGATCAGATACGTTTTGTGGTCTGCGCCAACTCGCGCATATGATCCGCTCCGTGCTTTCGTGTTTTTGGACCAGAGCAGACTGTGTGTGCGTGCTGCAGCAGTTCGTGTGACACAACATGAAACCAGACTTCATTCGCCCCAATGGAAAGAATATTTACACTGTCTGAATCGTTCCCCATCTCCTATATAGTGCACTATATGCCACTGACCATATAGAAAATGTGAATTCTGTGAACAAGTGACCGATTTCAACCACAGCTTCAGCGTCTATTTATAGTGTAGGGGCGGGACACTTCGGATTCTAGAGAGCATTTGATTGGACAGAAAATCTGACGAGAAGCTGACGTGTAGGGTAATGTCATCAAAATCATTCATCCATATTTGCAAAAGTGAAAGACTGTAAGTTTTGAATGCTAATATCTTCTAAATGCGAATGTTGTCATTGTTTTAGAGCACATTAGCTTACAGATAACCTTAAGACTAACATATTCATAATAAAAGCCAAAAAAAAAACTTTGAGCAGGGTAACTAATGCGATGGTTCTCAGATTTTAAAAGTTGTGTTATGTATTCCAGCCTTAAGGATAATTTGTGCCCTACTTTTTTGTAAAGTATACTTGGGTTGATATGTGGTCTGCAATTTTTACTGTTGGTCCGTCATGACGTTTGAAATCCACTGCTCTATTTTAAATATATGTGTGAATACCTGAGTGCTTTATCACTACCAGAAGTCAGGTGGCAGTTCACAAAGCCCATTGAGGTGCCATTAAAGAGAAGAGAAACTCCTACTGCTCCCTTATTTCCTGTAACCACAAAGAAAAAAAAAGAATTAATCTAAAAAATATATTAATTACAGTATAATTTATTTGTCACTTGATTTGTTTTGCTTGGCTAAAAGACAAGGATATAAAGGAGGTGAGAGAAAAAAGAAAAAGAAGAGTTAGTGAGTGTGTTTATTGGTTTGTTTGAGCAAGAGAGATTTGTACCAAGTGTGTTCCCCAGGCCAGTTTTAACACTAGCTGTGTTTACTTGACTGATGCGTCCTTCATGCTCTGGTTTAACAAACACAGCCAGTCTGATATTCCAAAGGGACTGTACTGCCACCTACAGGAAAAACACAAAAACACACTCACAATCTACTCTCACCAATTTAATACACTTTAATGTCATCCAATCAAATGATTAATATGTGATCACATAAGAAGAAGAAGCGTTCTGGACTATGAACATTTTGATTTCATAAAGTCAGACCTGTTTGAAGTCGATGTTGGTTGCACTCCGAAGCGTGGCTCTGATGTGTTCAGCCCATTCTCTCTCGCCCTGTGGGTTGTCCTGGGTGCCCACTGCATAGATATCATGAGGCAGGGAGGCGATGGACTCGTCTGGGGTGAGACCCAGACCACAGCAAGTAACCCAGGACTGAAGTGAACCGGGTGGTGGAGTGCCCCCTGAAGGCAAAATACAGAAACAACAATGAAACGTTTTGCTGCAACTGTTGAGGCCATAATATCTTTTATTAATGATATACTGTATATCCATACCCATATTCCAGGTGCCCACAAACACAGAGATTACATCAAGCTCAGACTGCTGGGAGTGAGCAGCTTTCATAAGCTGCAGCAGCCGACAGAAAGCTTCTCGTTTCTGTGGGAGACACATCAGTACATCAGATATAGACCATTTAAGGTAAGCCAATTCAAGTCTTTCTCCTCACATTCATGCTCGCAAACAAAAGTTCTCTCGGTGGATTGTGATGACTGTCTATGACCATTTTCAGCTTGGCAAGGCCTCTCTGAATCTTCACCAACTGCACGACTAAAACATAAAAGCATTAGATGGCATTTACTATCCTTGTATGATAACAATGGAGACTGAAGTAACTCAGGTTTTAAGGCAAGATAAACTCACTCCTGTTGTGTGTGACAGTCTCTACACCGAATGAGCCAGTCTTCTTGTCAAACAGCAGCACTCCTGCATCTATGTCTACCGACACTGTTTGCCTGCCATACCTGACCACCTTGACCTTGACATGCACATAAATAAATGCAAACACTTTCATAGTTTAAATATTACCAGTGAGCAAAACAATAGGCAATAATGTGCTACCTGAAAGCTGTGGACAGTATTAGGTCTGGCCTGTTTTTTGGGGGCTGTGACAGACTCAGGAGGAGTGACTGGTTGCAAAGATAAGTTGTGACTGGTTACAGCTTCTTGCAAAGCTTTGAGAACCTGAAAAAGACACGATATTGTTATCATCATCACAGACAGAAATGCAAAAAGATTACAAGTATGTGGTTTGTGTGGGTTTGCATGCTGTTTTTGTCATATTTATCTCTACCCTCTTCTCCAGAGATGACAACAGGTTACAGAGGGCAGTGAGCTTGTGAAGCAAATTATCCATGTTTTCTCCAGGGCTCTTCCCTGTATTCTAACAAAAAGAGAGTTTATGAGACAACAGGAATTTATTAGGTAAAGAAGACATTGATGTCTCCGCACTGCATGCGCATGCTATGCTGTTGCTAAAGCATTCTGAGAAATTGCAAAGTTGTTCTGAGTGATTGCTATGCGATTGATTCTTGGCACAAGTTAAAAGAGTTTGCCTCCAAGGCTCTATGATATTCTGGTCCCTAGTTATAGGATCTAAGGCACTGGTTCTCAACCCGGTGGCCAGAGCCCACTAGGAGGCCTCAGAAAACTTAAAATGATTGAAATGTATATATTATTGTTATAATAATAATAATACAATTAATATCGACATTGTATTGAAATGCTAAAAAACATACAATCAAGATGTTCTGTAAAATGAACTAGTTTTTGTGTGGACAATGGGGTCTTTGAATCAAAAAGTTTGAGAACCACTGGCCTAAGGGATTTTTTCTACCCATTTTATCATCCATCAGTGAAAATAAGTCAGTCATACCACTTAGAAAAGTAACAGTAAACCTTTCCTCAGCAAGCTGCATGATTTAAGCTATTATACACTATACCTATACACTTAGGGTCAGGGGCTCAGGGCTTTGTTCAAATTCCTAACAATAAGCATGAGCAATAGTAATAGTGATGCTTGCCTGTGCAAAGACCAGTAAAGATCCCATTCCTGTTTGAACATGTAATAAATCTTTGAATCTGTGGTTCCCTATATCAGCCACACACAGTGCAGTGTTTCATCATTCAGGAAAATGTTGCACGCGAAGCCAATTTATTAAACTATATTAAAATGTATTAAAGAAAAATATGACTGATTGATAATAGCAGCCTGTATTAGACTTATGTTTGTGTACCTGCATTGTGGAGAAGGTGAGGTGGCCACTAGGATGATCAAACACTTTCGCTAAGGTTTCCAAACTGGACAAAGTCTGGTCAATCTCACTGTGGTTAACAAATCAGCAATAACTTTTTCTTGAAAATATTCAGATGCTCTTATTTCAAATAATTGCAGCTGTGTGAGAAGGGACATGTTATGTTAGAGAAACAGCACCTGTGCAGACTGTCACATGCGCGGCTGAGGATGCACTGAAAGTGTTGCAGTCCTGATGCGCCTCCTTTCACATTCTCCAGGTCCTTACACATATTACCATGCAGATACTCATCCAGTAATTGGACAATCTCACAGCCCGCACTGCAGAAGTAAACATTGGTACACTGAGCTGTAAGGAGCGACACTGTTTTCACACAATTTTATATACAGGCACAGACAGTGGTATGTGATCAAAAAGTCTGATATTGATCCAGGGCCGTGCACAGACCTTTTGAGGGGCATGTGCTGAAACTGAAAAAGGGCACCCTTAATGACAAATGCGTTACGTTTTCATCACCAGGTGTTTGTTGTATATGTTATATATAAATATTTGTAAAGCAGACAGACAGATGCAAAGGGTGACCAATATCATTGATTTATTGAAGGAAAAAAAAAACACCATCACCAAAAAAAAGGGCACTTCGGAGTGTAAGGGCAAAAAGGGCATGTGCTCTGCACAGGTTGAGCCCTACCTGTGCATACTGCTCCGGGTGTGTGTGTGTTCACTGCTGTGTGTGTGCACTAAGGATGGGTTAAATGCAGAGCACTAATTCCTAGTATGGGTACCCATACTTGGCCACATGTCACGTCACTTTGAATGTACCTATTTGGCCTGAGCTCCTGAAGCCTCTGCAGCAGTAAATGAGGAGCTGCTGAACTGGAAGGTGGGGGCTGGCCTGCAGGGGACATTGCACGTGGTGGAGGGGTGACAAATGTTGAACTTGGCTTCTCATCGTCTCCATCTGCACCAAGAAGACACCTGCATTTAATCTTAAACATTTGAATGTTGTGCCTTTGGGATGAACTATGTCATAGCAGTCTCACACAAAATAAAGACTAATGACTTGTTAACAGTGCTTCAAGCCGCGAATAAAATGATCGCAAATGCGACAAGCAAAATAAAAATGAGCGACAATAAGTTTAAATATGTTTGGGAAAACAGTCCGAAGAACTTTGTGTCCGTCCATATGCGGTTTTGTCAGATTTCATCCGCGCGCCACATCCATAACGAACACTGCGCATTGTGAGCAACGCCATGATGTCCGATTCACAAACAAATTATTCATTTGAACCGGCTCTTTTGAACGAGTCAGTCAAAAAGATTCATTAATCAGCCTCGAACTCGGAGTTAGCGGTTAGAATCAGACTCACTCACTGAAATACTTACATCGGTCTGTTTAATGTCTGTTACATGTACTATAATAAATATAAATATTCATAACGTATATTATTGTAATAAATTAATCATTGTTTTCTGAAACCATTCAAATAGTGATTTTGCACAAATACAACTGGGATCATTCAAATTGTAATAAATTTATACTAAAACGACCCAAACACTATAGCCTAGTCTATATAAGTTAAATCGTCATAATCTACATACCAAAATTGCCCCTTCTTCGCAGCACAGTGAATGTTGGTTAAAAGCTATAGTTTGAAGCAATGCACTCACTGAACTGAAGCGCTACAAACATTATTGACAAGATTGTTATTTGTCAGTTTTGGCTTCTATCATCTTACCTGAGCTCTCATCGTTGGGCTCTGATTCACGCATAACAGGGTAAAGCAATGGGGCCACCAGACCTTTGTGTGGGTGTTGATAACCCACAACTAAATCACTAAGAGTACGGAAACAATTCACCTGCACTCCCTGCGTGGCCTGAAACAAAAACACACATGACCCGACACATATAGGCAAACAAATTCAGAAATCAGTAACAGCAGGACAATATAAGTATTTGAAATATGCATTACAAGATTTTAAAATTCTGTCCTAATTATGGGAAGGTGGAAAGGGATCATCAGTGTATTAGAAGGTTAACGGGAAAAATCATACTACCAAAAGTGTGAAAACTTTCCTACAAAATCTGTATGTTGATGACAGATACTGAACTTTATCACAGCCTAATACTTTTAGGCTTGGTTTCACAGACAGGGTTTAGGTTAAGCCAGGTTTAGGCCATAGTTCAATAAGGACAATATCTTTTATAAACGTGCCTTAGAACAAACATTACTTGTGTGCATCTTGAGACAAAACAATGGCACTGGCATATTTTAAAATATGTCAGTGCAAGTTCATTTCAGTTAAAACAGCCCAGACATGCATTTTAGTCTGGGATAGGCATAAGCCTTCTCTGTGAAACCAGAAGTTACATTTTTGATTTATATTTCAGAATTGGCTAACTTTTTATTAAATGACAAATATTTGGAATTCTGACAGACCTATTAAACTTGCGTGCCAAAAGATAATTTGAGACTTTCCTGCATAAACTAAAAAAAGATTGGCAGAAAATGCAGAACTGCTAGGTTTGCCACAAAAAGAAGTTGGTCTATGTAATCTATGTAACTCCCAAAACATTTAAGTTTTTCTGCTTTATGAACCAAAGGTACAATTACATTATGATGCCCTCATTCTAGCATCTGCCAAATTCTACATGCCGCGAACAGCCACTAGCCAGCTACCCACTGTGCAAACAAGAGCATACACACACACATACTGTACTTAAACCATCAGGCATCATGACAAATAAAATAACCCGCTCTTTGAATGCCTTTTTTTAGAAGCTTGTATTTTGAAAGCATGGTCGATGAAACCATTTTGGCAAAAACATTTAATTATTTCCCCTAAAATCTCCAAATAGCAGCATGTTTTCCTTCCAAGAGTGCAGCTCTTGAAAAGCGATTAAAATAAATCAGACACTGGGAGGGGGAGAATATTCAGAAAATGTTTCTTTTTCACAATAGAAAGCAACACTAACTTAACATGCCTCTTCTTGTGCATGTATACGTTATCCATTCTGTGTTTTAAATAGGAAACAGGCATTAAATCCACTTAATATAAAATATTATATAAAATATAAATCTTATTGGTAGAGTGTTTCTGAAACACACCAACACATCTCATCCATGCACAGAAAAGAATTAGCAAAAATGCATCTAGTACTGCTGCCTGGACATAGAAACAATTATGTCACACATATTTTAATCTCCACACAGACAGACAAACCCATTCCAGTCATTCTCTATCAGGAGCATGGTGCAGGAGGAATCTGTGTGAAACATTTAATTGACAGCAAGTGCCACCGAGGCCAATTTGAAACCACGCAGCTGCATGCTTCAGACAGCAGACAAGAACAAGTCTGCTTCTTTTTTGAAGAATAAGATGAAGTGAAAGTAACTAGATGAGTATCAAGTAATTTCCATGTGAAATTGCAAATTCATTCAAAGGTAAAACCATCATTTAAGGTATCCTGCCTAACAAGGCATAATTTTTGCCTGCATTTACTTTCTTACTTGTGACTGTGCATTTGACTGTGCAAACTCCTTTGTCTGCTCACCTGCACAGCCAGTAACCCATCTGCATCAGGAAGGATTCGGTATGTATGAACATGTCGCTGGAACCTATGGACAAGACAGACAGACTGTTGAATCTAAGATAACGCAGTAAAATAAATATTCTTAAAGCTGAAGTTTACCCAAAAATGAATATTTTGTAATGTCTATCAAAATGTAGTAACTTTCTTTCTTCCATGGAGCACAAGAGGAGATGTTATGCAGGATGTTCATGCTGCTCTTTTCCATACAATGAAAGTGAATAGTGACCACGACTGTCAAGCAAGATTTTCATTGAAGAGCAACTTAAACTACAGTCTGTTTTCAACTCATATGGCTTCATAAGACTGCACATTTTCTGTGTACCATAGTGCTTTTTGTCCTTTTTAAGATCTCATCAGCTTGTACACGAGACATCAGCTCAGACATTCTGCTAAACTTCTCATCTGGTGTTTAGCAGAAAATAGAAAGCCAACCAACCCTTTAAATAATCACATAAATGGAACATTTTGTGGCTTCATGAAACAATGTGTGCACGCCTGACATTGATGGTTTCCTTGGTCACCACAGGGCAGCATGTTCAATTCTGAAAGTAGGGTAAAAGTTCATCTATACCATATACAAGGCCACAGTAAAATAAAAGACCACCTGTTAATGTGGTCACTGAGGCCGTCAGTATGTGTCATTTCATACAAGATCATATTTCTGTGCCCATAGGAGGTTAAATAAACCAGAATTTGTGTTCATTTGCATTTGGCCACACAACCTGGAACATGTATTCAACTGAGACCAATGAAGACACAATTAGAAAGCTCAGTGTTTCCAGGTAATCTAAAAGAAGAGAACAAAGCACAGAGAGGAAGTGTGACTGTGTGAGTAGATGTTTTGCATGTGCACTGTTTCAGAGAGAAGAGACGAGGTAGAGGGCAAGGGAAAGAATGAATGAGAGAGAATGGAAGAAAGAAAGTAGGGAGAGCAGTTGGAGCTGGAGGGCTCAGCCTTCAGGAATGTGTCTGGCTGTGGGCCGCAGTGGAGAGAAAGCAATGCGGTCACTGGAGCCTGTTCCCTCCTACAGGGGCCAGAGACAGGAGGAAAACAGGGAAACTGAGGCCTGAACAAAGCTGACCGAGTGGGGTCTGGAGCAGGGCCACATTAACCATTGGGCTAGGCGGGGCTGAAGCCCCGGGGCCCGGACAAGGAGGGGGCCCATGATTGGCTGTGGAGTAGATCGACTGGTCATCGGTAGCGCCTCACTTATTAGCGCTATTATTTAGTGGAGCTTTTCCATATATTCCATGCATTACCGTTAGAGATTAAAACGTCACGTTTGAATTTGGCTTACCAATCAAATGCATTTATTCTATATTTTTACTTTTGAATGACCCTTGCACCATGTATCAATCAGGTGATCGCTGCAATGTCCGCATTCACCTCTCTTCACTTCGTTCTGGCATAACCTGGAAATGGTCATGCAAAGAACAATCTTCGATAAGTAAAAATGTAAACTATTCTAAAAAGAAAGTTAGAGAGGGGCTATTCTAAAAAAAAAATGAGGAGAGAGGGGAAAACATGAGTTAGTGAGTCAGTGAAATCCCCAACTATCAGGTTATTTTACTAAAGCTGATGATGGAGTAGTTGTGAAACAGCACGTGGACCGGGCACATGGAGCAGATAAAAACACAGCGTCATCGTCCCCACAGATTTTAGGCTAGTTTGATTAACAAGTTAACAACTTGATGGATGTATATTGCTTTTTGTGTTTGAACAAAGTATATTCGCTTATGGGTTGAGAGATAAACCGGTAGAAATATATCAATCGTTTTGCGCAGCATGATGTAGGTTAAGCTTTTCATTTAAAAGCATTTTAAGCATTGTGGTTTAAAAACAAATTTAACTGTTCAGGGACATTAAGCAGTGGGGCAGAATTCGTTTTGGCAAATGCACGCATTAAGACGGTCACGGCCTGATTCGCGTGGCGCGCACCTGCTCTACAGCGCCAGTCGCGTTGTGTTTAAACGTTCAAATGCATGTGTCAAAATGTCTCCTCGTCAACACAGTCATTTGTGTCTTAAACGATCGCAGAAGGAAACTCATACAGGTTTAGAAAAACAACAGACCTTTCATTTTTGAGTGAGCTATTCGTCTAAAGCAGTTTAATTTAGCTGCTATTAAAATTTATGTCAATAATGTTAATCAAACATTAGAAAGAAAATCACTCACTGTCCTTGACCAAATCACTTTTGTAAAATAATAATATAATTTATTATTCAGTGCTTTAAGTGTTTCAGGTAGGTCTATTTTTTTGTAATTTGTGGCTGTTTACTTGTCTTAAGTATAAGCTTGTTTTTACTTAGGCTAGTTTGTAATAGGGGGCCCTGCAGTAAGTCATGGCCCAGTAAGGTCTTAATGCGGCCCTGGTCTAGAGGGACTGCTCTAGACTGGGTCTCGTATCCTGAAGCTCATGTGCATTGAGATAGACAGTACTAAACTATCTGAAAGGTAGCCCCAGTCACTGTCTTGCCAAAGTTCTGCTGAAACCTGATGGGGAAGGCAGACACATGGCTGTAAAATCCATCTCACAGACACAGACTATAGAAAAGAACTACAATAGTTCATTGACTTTTTGACAATACCTGGTTACTATTGTGATTTACTTAAAAATGTCATTGTGCATCACCAGGAAGTGTTGTGAATAGACAGCTGGGTGGTGCCAAACTCATTCTAGGTAAATTTATCACATCACAACCAAGTGTGTGTAAAGGCTGGAATACACTATATGATTTTTTAAATCTGAACAGTTTTCAAAACACTAGACATCATAGTTTGTAAATGGGTAACAGAAAAACCAGTCATCATACACCAAACGACTGATGATCACACACTACCAGACTTTCATGTTTTTCTGAACACAACAAACTCATGCAGAAACATGCTCCTCATTGCTAGAAGATGATTGACTATATGTGTTGTAAAACTGGCTAAAAACTTATTTGACATCCTTTGACTGATTGAAACCATTATACACTGTTAATTTTGAATGAATTCGGTCAATTCTGACCACCCAAAATCTGCAAATTGGTTCTACCCTTTGGCAACTAGCATTGACTCATCACTCATCTGTAATTCTGTGCAAACGTTGTGTAGTGTATTCCAGTCTTGAGGTGTTGTACTCACAGCAGACACAAGGCGTAGGCTCCAGGCACAGATTCACTGTCCCTCACCAAGAAGCTGCCATCTCTCCCTGCACGGGCCAGCAGCTCTTCAGCTTGAACACGGCTGATATCCCGATGGTACCACGCTGCTGCTGTCATGGTGCTTTCAAAAGAGTGTCCTAGCAGAGTATAATATAGTCTAATTTCCAAAAACCAAAGTGGTTGACACAAGTTTGATGAAAGATGTCATATTGATACTGTTGATCTCCAGTGATACCAAAACCGGAGGTCCACCCTGTCATCCCGTCTCTGTCAGAAGCTGAGCATGCAGAGTCAGATCCAGAGAGCGTTACGGCATCCAAAAGCTTTGTTGTTTACACTGTCTATTGTGTTTGCCTCCCCATGAACATGTGCGTTTTAATGGCAGAATGCACATTTGGCTTGAGGGCAGATCCAGGACCGGCCTCCTCCTCTCGTGATCTGCGACGACTCCACTTATGAGAGCTCATTAGTGAGACTGAGGTAGATGACAGAGCATCCATACACAAGTTGCCCACCCCACTGACAAAAGCTCTTATTGTCTGGCAGCAAACATATCCAAGAAGAGGAACCAAGAGTGAAGACAAGTACCAGCTCCAGACTGCGCAGACATGAAAAGGCAGTGGAGCAGTACCACCACAAATTCAAATACTTTTCCACTCAGTTGGTTTTGCCTTATAAGGGCAAGGCAACACCCCTCTGAGAACTTCAGCTGATGTCTGCAAACTCCACTAAAGGACAGTTAACTCCAGCTAGAGGTTCACCAACCAGCCTTAGGGTAAGAACTAGACCTGGACTCCATTCACAAAGACGGAAAACCATGAGGGTCGGCATGTAGACGTAAAATTAGAACGGATGGACCCCTGGTAAATGTAAGGAAGTGCTTCACAACTCCAGCTGGCAGAGGAAGAAGAGAGAGCAGAAAAAATTAAAACACTAACCTGAATTCCCGAGCGCAGCGTTTTAGGAACTTCCAGTCTCACTCATTCTTTCTTTCTATCCCTCCGAGGGATCTTCAGAAAAACCCACACAGTAGCTACACTGTAGCTAAATCATTGTCACATGCTTTGAATCGGTCTCTACAGCTCTCTGGGTTACTGTGCTACGCTTCCAGTTGTTTTTTCTCTCACTCCTTGTTGGCTTCCCAGCTCTCTCTCTCTTCCTCTAGCCTCTCTGTCCATCTCCCTCTCTCTATCCAGAAAGTGAAGAACACAAGCTCTGCCATATGGATACGATCATCCCCCTTTCTCTGCATCGCTTGTTTTGTCCTTCTCCTCCTCCTACCCTCCTTTTCTTCTCTCTTTCTGTTTCCAGGTGCTTGACTAACACCATCCCTCACTACTCAGCAAAAACAGTCTGCAAACCTCACCACCAAACACAAATAAAGCACTTCACCCCCAAATCTCTGTTTGTTGTGAGTGGGCTATAAAAAGTCATTGTTTTTCCACTATTACGTAACTATGAAGGAAGTCAGGCGGTCCCTAGAAGTTTCTACCGCACCCTTCATCCGTAGTGTTGTCTGTTCAGTGTTGTGGCAATAGACCACACTAGGTCATATGAGGGTTCAGGTTTTTGTACATGCAGGAGCTTTCAGAGGTTCCATCATTTAGACTGCCAACAGCACCTCCATTGTGAAGCACTGATGAAGACAAATGATAACGGAATGTAAATAATATTTATTTTTATCCCCCCGAATATGTAAACCTGAAGAGTTCATGCACACTTTTCCACCTCTGCTCTTGTGGCTTTAATACCTGGCTCTGATTTGCATTTAAATTTTGAATTTGAAGTCAACTTAAACTGACTTAACGATATTTGAAAAGGGAGAAAAAAAAAGTTCGGCAAAAGGTGGGATCGAACCTGGGTCGATCGCGTCAAAAAGCCAATGACACGCGTTTATCCATCTGCGCCACTGGAGCTGATGTCTAACAAACACTTTTAACTAAATGTAAATAGACACTCCGTATTTTTTATTCCATAGTAAGGGCAATTCATACAATACATTTAAACTGAGCTACTTTAATACCATCTCCGAACTTTCTACCACGACTCTGCTGTCTTCGGCTGGTTCTTCCTGTATAAGTTGATTGACAGATGTCTCGTCCAGTCAGCGGTGAGTAATCCCAAACCAATGGCGCTGTCTCAAACTATACCTACCTCTTCCGGTTTGTCTGATTTGTCGTTGTGTTTTCTGACTTGTTAATTTGCTTTCGGATTTGTCATTGTGTTTTCTGACTTGTTATAATGTTTTCTGAATTGTTGTTGTGCTTTCTGAATTGTTATTTTGTTTTTTAGACTTGCATTTGCATTTGTAATTTGTTATTAGGGAGCAGCACATAGGGCAAACCTAGTGACAATCTTAATTAAAGGAAACATGCATGTGTCTTATCTCCAGAGGTACGCACACAAAAAAAAACTGCATCTTTAAATATCCTAACCAAAACACAGTAAACTATAAGGAACAAATATGGTGCTAAAACAGTAACATGGGTATTGCTAATGTTCAGTCTATTCAATGCTACATTCAGTGCAAGTGTGTGGCCCCTATTCTACATTTGACTTGCTGTTTTCCAAAACATAATCATTTTTATTTGGCACCAGCTGCAGTTAATGTTGACTTTTTATATTATAAAAATACTTTTTATTACCAATGGATGGAGACCTCAAGGCAGTGCCCTAAATGCAGATCTGAAGATTTTGTTATCACAGAAGTTGCAGGCCTATCCAATGTTCTTGAAGCCACTAAGGGTTTTGTGTAACAGTATGCATTTTCCTACTTCCTGCAGTAACATCTAATGTTCTAATGTTCTTGAAGCCACTAAGAGTTTTGTGTAATTCTATGTAGAATAGTTTGCATTTTTTTCCAAAAAAAAGCAGGGTATGTGCACATGTGATAGTTTTCTAAAACATTGCAGTTTTGTTTGCTTTAATGGCAAAGTGGTAATATTTCGTTTCGTTCCTTTATTAAGTTCATTTAGAAATATCTTTGGAACATTTTATGTTTGTTACATTCAGGTTTTTATTTTTTAAAGGAACGACCAAGCGGCCAGCGGCTGACAGTGAGTTGAGCATATGTTTGATCAATTTAGCCTCCTCAAACCAACAGGACAACTTGCCTAAAATAAAATCTATAGACATAAAGCACTTTGTGCATTTCACAGTATCAATTTAAACATTTAACCTAGATAAATGTGCGCTGTTAGACGCATATCCAATCG